TATACAACTTTTATGTTTTAAAATTTTTCAAATTCGAATTGGATCATGGTCAAAAATGGGGGGAAAACAGAGGTATTGATACCAATTGGTGCAAGTGTCGGTACCAAAATTCCAGTAGGCTTAGATATCGGTGCCTGTGATACCAAATACCACCACCTCCTTGATTTCTTTCACTTTTAAGCCTCATGTAATATGTCCATCTCTTCGCCACTCATCCACACTTCGTTGTAGGGTTCCGAAAGCCATCATTTACCCTATGACTACCTGCAATATCAAAATTTTCACATTATTCATAAATTTGACTAATTATAATTAATTAAATGCAAAGTTGAGTTAAAATGCATGTAATGAGGCCGTTAAATATGCAATATTACGCGCTCATCACAACACCACCACAAAACCACCACCCAAACTCTTTTCCTATTTTTCCTTTCTTCTTTTTTTTTTTTTCCCTTCCTTTCTTGGTCTTCCTTGTCTTAGTTGAAAATGGCTTGCTTCTTGCGTTTTGCCTTAACCAAAAATGGCTAAGTCTTGAAGAGTTCTTTTTTTTTCTTCCTTTTATATTTTTTCACACATGCACAATGATGACACTCCCACTTCTTCTCTCTCCCAATCCATCACTCTCCCCCCTCCTCCTCCTAGCCACCCATTTTCCTTGAGACAAAGACCCTCATGTGCTTACATGCAATATATATATATTACTAATAAAAATACCTTAGCATGAAAACTTTCGATTTACTATTTTGTCATTATACAAAACTATAACGACTAACAAGTCCTTTGTATTTAAATATTTGCATTATTATTATTATATCCCTCTATATTTAAATAACAAACTAATCTCTAACATATCATGTAAAGTTCTCTCTCTTTGCAAAATTTTTGAATGGTTATATTATGCTTATGATATATAAAAATAAAATTATTTTTTTCCTAAAACCCCAATATTAATATATGTCAAAAACTTCATTGATATAGTATCATCTCTCATGCCCAAAAATTGATATATTTATCTTTTCTTTTTATTCACAATCAAAATAGTTTGATAAAAATTTATTGGGGCACAAAGTAAATCAAGAAAGAAAAAAAGAAAAAAATTGAGAATTTTTTTTTTATAACCCTTACTACTTGGTAGCTCGAATAAAAGAATCACACAAAATGAGTCTATTGAATTTTTATAGTTATGAAGAGATTACAAATAATTTAAGTATTATAAATATGAGATAATATTTAATTAAGCTACGAATTAGATATATATATATATTGCTAATCTTTTACCCATCTCTTGTGCACACTAATTTATTTATTGTTATTTTTTTTTTTTGCAATACTCAAATTAATGTCACATGCTCACCACCCCACTTAATCCCATGTGAACTAATAAATATCAAGATATATCAAGCAAATTAATTATGTCATGCAATATACATATTTAATTATCTTACACCCAATCAATGTTCCATTTTTAATTAGTAGGTACCTATCGAGCATTGTCATATCGCATGATCATACTCGTAATAAATATTTACATGATCATCATGCATACTCATACTCATAATAATTATTTATGTGGTCGTCATGTGTATTCAGGTTTTACACCCTGTGGTAAAGTTATGGGTACATTGAGGATTTGCAACATATTTCTGGTAAATAAGTTTAACTAAGATTGGGTAATCTAAGAATTTTATCAAAAATTGATATATCAAATTTACTAGAACAAAGTTCCCACTTAGACTAGGATATTAACTAGTGCCTATAAATATCTTGTAACCCTATGAATTCTGATAACATAAGGGAAAAGCCTCTCTTGTGGACGTATATAGTATCGAACCACGTAACTTTTATGTTTTTGTTTTCTTGTTTATTTTATTCTTTGATTGTTCACCATATTGAACATTCACGACAAATATAAATGTTGCTAACCTTTCAGGATGTGAAAAGAATTGGTAATCTAGTATTTCGGATTGTGAAAGTATTTTTATTTTAAACTAGGCGTGTACTTGACTGTCTCTCTTGAGTGTCACTTAAGGTGCCTTTAGACAAGACTTGAGCAACATTGTATATCTACATTTTTTCAAAATAAAGTTATTTAAAATTTGGTATGTCGGCAAAATGAAAAGGAACGAGGTGTGGGGTCAACTGGTTTGAACACTATTAACTGTTAAACAAAAAAAGAATGACAAGCAAAAAAAGTCCAAATCATTGACTATGAACTGAAAATATGAATCCAATGATATATTTTATGTAATAGAAACTCTCGCGATGATGCTTTGGATTGTGAGGCCAGAAACATGCGTTCATTTCCTTTTAGTTTCCTTACTGATGAAGACACATATTTTCCAAGGTCAAGACCCAAGCTGAACCTATTCAAGATTTTCCAATGTCAAGACCCAGGCTGAATCTTTTCCTAAATTATAGGAAAATTTTCAATACATCAATATAATAAAGTAGTTTATAATTCAAATTTCAAAAAATAAACAAAATTACTTTTGTTATTCGCGGTTCAGATCGCTTTACTTTAAAGTTAATTTAATGACTAATATTAACATCCTAAATTTAATAGAAAAAATATACTCTTAAGGATGTGTTTGGAGTGATTTTTTAAAAGTACTTTTAGAAATTATTTTTCATAAATACTTGAAAAAAAAATAGTAATTGACAACGCCCCACCATTACCTCTACCACCACCGCCACTGTCACCGTCGCCGTCGCCACCGCCACCACCACGACCACTACTGCCGCCACCACCACTGCCACAACAACCACTATCGCCACGACCACCGCAGCCACTGCCCCCCACCACTGTCATCGTCGTCACCACCACCGCCACAGTCACCACCACCGCCACAGTCACCACCACCGCCACCGTCACCACCACCGCCACAGTCACCACCATCGCTGTCGCCATCACCCCACTATCGCCGCTGCCACCGCCACTGCCACTGCCACTGCCACCGCCACCATCGTCGCCACTAACGCCGCCACCACGGTCATTACCACCCACTACAACCATTACCGTCTCCTACTATCACTACTGCAGTTTACCACCTCTCACCCCACTACAAATCGATGCTTAAATTTTTTTATCTATTATTTATGTTTATGATGTGATTTTGGATATAAATACAAATATATTTATTATTTATCATTTTTTATTACTCTGTGTCTTCAAACACAAGAAATAACTAGTTTATATAATAAAATAGCTTATAATTCAAATTTCAAAAAATAAAAAAAAAATGACTTTTACTATTCGTCGTTGAGATTGTTTTAAATTTTACTTTAAAATTAATCTAACGGCTAATATTAACACCCTAAATTTAATAGGAAAAATAAGCCCCTAAGGGTACATTTGGAGTGACTTTTTAAAAGTACTTTTAAAAATTATTTTTTACAAATAATTTTTAAAAAAAAATATTTGAAACCGCCGCACCACTACCACTACCTCTACCACCACCACCACCCCCACTGCCGCCTGCGCCACCACCATCGCCGTCGTCGCCACCATCCCCACCACCAACACTGTCGTCACTACCACCACTGCTATCACCACCACCACCTCCACTGTCGCCACCACCACCACCACTGGCACCACCACTGCCACCGTAGCCACCACCATCATCGCTGCCACCACCATTATCGTCGCCACCAACGCCACCACGGTCATTGTCACCCACCACAACCAACACCGTCCCTTACCATCATTACTATCGCCAACCACCTCTCATCCCATTACAAATCGATGTTTAAATTTTTTTATCTCTTCTATATGTTTGTGATTTAATTTTAGATATATGTTTATTGTTTACTATTTTTTATTACTCTATACCTTCATGGTCAGGCAATAACTAGTTCTTCTTAATTAAGATTGTTGGTTCAATAACAAGAAGATTCGTTGAAACAGCCTCAATCATATGCGGGGTAAAGCTGCAGATCATTCCCAAGCCTTCAGTTTTGGGAGACTCGAGCACCGGCCGCTTTTTTACCAACGCTACAAAATGGTTGTGAAGGAAGCCCTGTTATGGTTACGAAGGGTACAGCCCTTGAACAATTTCAATTGGTATCAGGACTACAAGCAAACGTTCCAAGATCAGTATAATCATGGTAGCCATTCCTACAGAGACCAAAGTGCAAATTCTTGTGGAAATGTGATTCACAGGAAAAACCTAGCCCATAAGACGCTTGAGCTTTCCCTAGAGTAGACAATCAGAGCCTTTCTATTGAAGAGTATTGAGCTTAAGATCACTGATGCAAATGTGGTTTGTTATGAGGTTTCGAAACCGGATTAGGCATAAAGAAACCAGTTAATTAATTGGAATGCAACCTTTTTTACTCAACTATTCGTATAAAGAAAACCTGTGGGCCAAATGGTTTCATTCATATCCAGTGGAGGGAGAAATCCATGGAAGATAAAGCTCTCGAGCATTTGCTCATGGAGTTGGCTCTGCATACGTAAACTCAGGCCTTTTATAATGCCCCTAAGCCCTCTTGTTTCAAAATGGACAATTGCTAACAGGGAAGCTTAGCACTCGAGGCTCCCGCCACTATAGAGTCTAAGGAGTGTCAGATTCACGCTCTCTTACCTCAGCACGCGGAGAGATTATATACGTGATTTTAAACTTTGATGCTTAGATTACAATAGAGCAAGCTTAACCTTGCACTGATGGCGTAGCTTGCTAAAGAAAGCAAAAATTGAGTAGCATCATATTTGATTATTGATAGCATTGGCCTCTTGCAGCCTCCTATGGGGAGGGAATGGAAAGGGTATGAAATTAGAACCCACAAACACCTGTGGATGGGAGTGAGCCTTTATCACCGGGGCACTCCCGCATCTCGGTACAAATTAGATTTGCTTCATGGCATACACTCATCTGGTTCATTCATATTGTATTTTACACTTCTTCTGTAATAGTGATCTATCGAAGCGTATAAAAAAATCAGATGCAAAGAATTCAGTTCTTACGAGTAAATACTCAATACGCAAGTAGGCTTTCAATCTAGGTCCTGATATGATCAAAATACTTTCTGGGTTGTTTCAGAACTTAAAATTGGTGAGGAACTTTGCCAAGGGTAAAAAAAAAACAGAGAAAGATCCTACTGTATATATACTTAAATTAAACATTAGAAGATCAGAAACTGTATACATTAACTATAAGAAACAACATTTTAATTGATACACTTGTAAAATAATTCATCCGGGGATGAAAAACTGCTACTGTCAAAGGAATTGAATTTCTTTAAGAATCTTCACTGTCTAGGTCTGGATATTTGCGGCTCGAAGGGCTTGTGATCATTGAAATAAGCTCACTGGCTGTCCATGTCACCTGGGAGAGGTTCCGGAGGTGAGCCATAAACTCTTCATCCACTGGTGAGATTTTAGGCACATATTCTGTGAAAAAAATCATAAAGGGTTAAACTCACAAAGAGCAATTTAGCCAAGTTACATCTATAAGCAACTTAGGAGAAGAATAACTCGGATATGTAGTGATTTGATTACGCTTATGTTTTGGCAGCCAAATATACTCATCTTATCTTGCTTGCTATTAGAACTTTTGCTTGAAATATGCCAAAATAAATCTGCCTTCCCCTGGGCTTCCTTATATGCTGGTTTTGAATTGACATTAACATTTTTCGGGTTAATTTTTGATGATGTCTCACTGGTGAGGTTCGTGGAATTGATGAAGTTACTCGATGATGATGATGATCTTGTATGTTTGTTCTCTGGGAATCAAAAAATTTCAGCCAAAGCTAATGACAGACTCGTGAATTAAGTTCAACTTCTATGATTTTCTTCTTCATTTTCATTTTCATAATTCATTCTAGTTTAATCTCCAAATGAACTACTCCAAACTATGCAAAAATTCTTACCTGAGTTTTTTATGAGATTGAATAATGAAAATGAAGCAAGAATCCTTTCCTCAAGAGATTTGTCATAATTCAGTGATTCTATCAGCCCTGGTACAAGGATTGAACACGCCACAAAATGGAGGTTATCATCTCCGATCTGAAGGAGAAATCTGCTCATCCACGAAACAGTGACAATACTGGCTCGAGTTAAACAAGGGATGCCATTGGCTATGGAATCCGAAAGAGCAGCGAGGAAACTGTTGTTTCCACTGGTGAGTAAGACAATTGCTGCTTTCCTTTGCCAATTTTCCATTGCGTCTTCCTCTTCATTCTGAAAATTGTCAAATCAAATAAACGTACTTGTCAATGGATAGACGATAGGGATGAAGCATGAGGTATCACCAAATACATCTGTCTGCAACATTAACCTGTTATGAAGTATGATGATCAATTTCAAAACTCGAGAACAGAGAGAAATATACAATAGAGGACAACACGATTTATGTGGTTTAGCAGTAGGCATTAGCTCAGAATGAGAGAGATTGTGTAAACCATCAAATGCTTAAGTGAGGTATGATTCCAAAGATTGAAGCAAATTTAACCCCAACAATATGAATTTTGGAGATATTTAAAAGTCTCTAAGGTTGTACTTCATAAAGGTTGGTTATTATATGAAATACCTACGCCAGATATCCTACCTGAAGGACTAGAGAATATGATGATCTTCATTGACAACATTCATAAAACTGAAAGCTTACTGTGTTAAATACTGATATGATCAACAATGTATAATCCAGTGTTCGAGTTCAATTTCAGGCCAAACTCACGTGCACGAATCTGTCAGTGACGATATCCTTTCCATTAAATGAATGCCCTGAACTCTCATCAAAGCCAGCTTCTTTTAGGATCCATTTCTCTGCTTCTGGCTCTCCAGTGTATGAAAATCGACCTCCCAACATCAAAAGAGCTCTGGCTGATTGTTCCTGGACCTTTTCATTGCATATTTGACAATCCAAAGAGGCAACTATAGCCTCTACTGCTTCTTCTCTATAGACACTACACTTCAAAGGATCCCCCTGAGACATAACTAGTACCACATGAGGACCTCCCCCATGACCACCAAATTTGAATTAAATAAAGAAAAACTAGAAAGAGAATTACCAAAAGATCAAGCTGTAACAGTATGGCTGCAACCATGGGACGTTCTTCCAGTTTGGCCTTTCGGAGGTATACTAACAAAATGTGCATGGTGTTCAAACTTCCCCATCCACTTATTAGTCCGTTTAAGAACTTCGTTCTCTCAGTATATCTAGTAAAATACCACAAGATCATAACTTGAGTGATCTAATTTACCCAAAAAACGTGTTTTTCTGAAAGAGAATTGTACCTTTGGAGGCAGAGTAACTCTGTTAGCAAAGCCAAGGTCTGCCCGGGGTAATCCACCTGCTTTCCCAAGACAAGGAGTGAAATAACAGAATCCTTGTTCAGATTGTTGGCTATGAAGTGCCGACATCTTCCATCAGCTCGAATACAACAGTAAATGGCAGTAACAGCTTTGTTCTTCTCACTAATGTCGCCTGCCTCGATCCTCCTGACAAGCAGCCTGAGCCCACCAAGCAAGACAACTTGTCTAGCATTCTCCAAATTTTTATCTTCATCAAAACCCTCAAGAAGTTGATCCAAGAAGTAATATGCTGCCACTTGAGGGCTGCATTGGAAGGTGAATAAGGTCTGCAACTGATCCCCGAACTCCAACACTCGAAGGACTAATGGAACCCATTCGATTGATATCATCTGCTTTGCCTTTGGCTTCACTAAGTAAAGCAAGGCTGCGGCTTTTAGAAACAGACTACTACTTCTTAATAGTCTCATGAAGATATCAAGCTGTGGATCCGAATTCAGTATGATCTGCCCGTTCATTTCTTTCCTTGTTACAAGTTCTGCTAAAATCGAGATTGCTAGTTCAAGAATTTCATCATCATTGGAAGCAAACAAAACCTCTAGCATTCCCTCGATCACTTGTTTCTTCGATAATGTGGTTTCAATTATGGGATCTCCATGTGAATATATCCAAACTTTTGTAATCACGCGGATTGCTCTTTCACAATCAGTTAGGCTATCCGAGCAGCAAATTGTGTTAATGGCTTCTCTTAGATTTCTTGAAGGAAGAATGCTGGTATTTTCTGTCTTCTCAATTGTGCTGGGCGTATGGTTGCTGTGCACTAAGCATCCTGCTGGTTCACTCCTACAGGTGAGAAACTGAAAATAATCGGACTTCTGAATCTCGGGCCGAAATTCAGCTTTCCGATCTCTATAATTTTGGTTTGATGATCGTCGATGAGCTCCAGTTTTCCTCTGTCAAGGCCAGAAAAAAGATCAAAATTAAAGCACTTTCAATGTAACAGTGATTTTTCAAAGTAAGACTTAAAAACACCCATTTGAATTGTGATGTTGAGTCACTCACTTCAAGATAACCATGTTGCTTGATATTATTTTCCTCCATACATACTTTTTCTTCTTCCTCCAAACCCCATGAATTGATTGATGCACCAGCTCTAGCATCAAGGTCCATAGACCGCCGCTCAAACATGGGGCTAAATACAGCGCTATACCTTTCAAGATTTAGGCAATCATGAACATTAAATGTTTGATATTCTTCTATTGAAATAACTAAAATACATAAATTTCATACTTACAAAGATCTATTAATGGAGGAATGTGAAGTAAATGAATCTGAAGACTTCCTTCTTTCACTCCCATAACTTAGTTTGGAGGGCAAAGGTACAGCAGGAACTGGAGGGGCTTGGACACCAACTTTAAGCCATTCCTTATAGTAAAGAGCAAATTGAATTGTACCACAATCAATTTGGTCATTGTAGACATTGTTCAAATCTTTCATTCTTCTCTCTCTGTCAGCATAGTCAGAATTGGAGAGAAATTCAAGTTCTTTACTGTACCAAACATTAATGTGGAGAAGGTGGGGAAGAAAAAAATGCTCCCAAAGTTCAGGAAGTAAATGAGTTCGGGCAATAAACGGTGCATCACAGAATACTTGTAGAAGGTGTCTTGCTGAAATTCTATCTTTTTTCTCGAGCTTATAAACAATGGATAAGTACAACTGAGCACACGCAGAGAGATGCGAATTGGGTGTTCCAGAAGTTGAACCATTCTTTGAGCCTTTCGAATCCAATGATGCAACAATACTCAAAAGCGTAATTGAATTTCTCAAAGCTATTATCCTCAGTTCTTTCTTTGTACTTCGATTCTCCACCAGTTTCTCAATACTCTCAACACCCAATTCAAAATTCGTGAAAATCCCATTACCCGAATCCTTTCTTCTCCTCACAAAGCAAGAAAAACACTTCTCTCTGACATTTTCACGAAATTTTTCATCTCTCAAATACTGGCCTACATAGCCACTTAGTATGGAAACCACTGCTCTAATAGCAACTTCATCAATTGCAGGCTCATCGTTCCTCGACGCACCCTCCGATACAGACCTTAAATTTGTTCTCCCGAATTCTGAATTACTTCTTGACGAAAACACAGAAGACCCATTACGTGAAAAGGCCTTCTCAATCTTCTGCTTGGAAAAATCAAGGCTTTTACGGTCATGGCAGATGTAAATTGGCAAAGCAACTGACTCTTGCGGTGCAATTCTGTCTCTGAACCTCACTTTTTTCTGGCTTTTTAGAAATTTTTTACCCACAAATCCTTCTTCTGCAAGCAGTTCCTGCAAAGATGCCATTTTTTGGTGGTATGAATGTGAATTTGGCGGAAAGAAATGATGGTGAAAAGTTTCAGTGACATTCTTTCAAAAGCAAAAGATAACAAAAAAGAACAGCTAATATGGAAGAAGAAAGTGCAATAGGTGATGAAGGACAGAGAAATGAGGACAAGATGAGTTTGGTGATTTTCTCAACCATTCTTAACCGCCAGTTATTTTTCGAGTTATAGAAAACCAAGAACAGAACCGGCCGGTTTAAAGTAGTTAATAGATAAAATCGGTCGGCGAGTGCTGCATCCAAGATTTGTTTTAGTTTTGGATTGGTCTATTGGAGCAAATATTGGGTGCACGTTTATGACTAACTATTTTTTTTTTTTTTTGGTTATAGAGTGTATAAATTTGCGCCGATTACTCTCTCAAGTTCAGAAGTCAGCCATCGTGATTTAAAGTGAGTTAGAATATGCTTCTAAAAGAACAAGAATGACTAGGAGGTATGAATATGAATTGAACCTGAGACTTTTAGATTATCGAAAATCAAACTCAACTACTGAATTACCGCTAAGGATTAGATAGTTATTTAATTGTGTGGGATCCACTTATCCACTTATTGTCTTATTAGTAGACGGTTACACTATGTTAGAATGATGACTTAGTGTAACGGTGATATCTAATACTTTCTTTGTCTTTCTGATCTTCTCAAGCTGCTGAGACCTCTTGAAAAAAGAACCACACAAATTTCTCATAACTTTTCCAATTATCACAAAATGCACAAGTGGTCCAATGGCATGGAGCCGGTGATTCGTGGTTAAACTTATTCCTGTAATTAATATCTGCAACTACAAGAGTGTGTGTCCAATAATGTGACAATGCCTTGAAGTAATTACTCGTAGCAAAAAATAAATTTAAATTCTTTTACAAATAGCAATATTCTCCAACTTAACAAGTAATTACAATATTTAGATTTATTCCTCATCAATAAAATAAGATTTTTCAAGCCAGCATGAACTTATGGTTAAAGTTATAGTCATTATATCGCATTAAGAATGTTTATTATTCGATCTGTCATGTAAATTTTTAATCAAGTTTCTATCACTCTCACTTATCTACTCGTTTATCATCCACAAATTTTAAAATTTGAACCCAAATTTTTAAAATTAATCTCAATTTTGTATCAAATTCACATATCGTATTCACAATTGTTAGGCAACTTTCGATTAAACCGCAGCCAAGCATGATGCTCAATGCCCCTAATTTACCCCCAAACCGGTTCAGCTTGCCGGGTTGGTGGTGATTTTGGTACTTGGTTGTGTGAAATAGCAAGACATCGGATTTGGTTGATTAAATGTATGTAAAGAATAGACTAGGCTTCAAAGTATCAAACAAAAAGACTAGATGCTTGGGAACTCACAACATGTGGTTTGCTTTTGTTGAGTAGGACCCACACTACAAGAATAGTTTGAACAGTCTTTCTCAATAATAAATTTTTTTTTTTCCATTTTTTGAAGATAAATAATCAATAGAGGTGATTCCATGTTGTGATCCTTATTGTGTAATGTATGTGTATGTTGATATGATCCCTATTGTACAATATATATGTGTATATGGCATTTATATTCACCCCGGAAAAGGATTGATCACGTGACGTGGGTACCATAAGAAAACATCACATGGCTGACATAATACGACACTCAAAACATTTGGCAAAGGAAAGAAACTAAGAATCAAACATTTGTGCCTTTGTCCTTCGTGTTTAAGTTTTATCCTGTTAGAATTTGTTCGGTCTATATTTAATCTATTTATAATTCAATTAGAGTTGGATTTGTGTCCCATAAAAAAGGTGTGTTTAGTGGGTTAGTATCATTTCAACATGTTTTAACACATTCACTCAAGCTCACTAAAATTAAACTCAAACTCGTATATTTTAATCTCGATTTTTTATTATGTTTTTTGGTTGTACTAAAATTTGACAGAATTAGTGGAAGATTGTATACAAGAATTGTTTCAATTGTCGTCATCCGATCTCTATCTTCTCTGATTTTATCGTCGAAATAGTATTTCAATTTCTCTTTGAACTTCTCTTTCTTGCTTTCTTAATCACCGATCGAAGGAATTCACAAATAAAAAGATTTTCTTCACACACAATTTCTCAATATACAAAAAGAAATCTTTTGGAATCTTCATTGTAGGTCGCATCTGAAACTAAAATTCTTGAAAAAGAAAAGAAAAATATCACCAAGTCTCTCTCCTCAAATCACACAGTCTATAATTAATTATTTCTTCAATTTTAGTAGATTAAGGTATAGAAAGAAACCCTAAAAGTAAAGATTGAGATAAATTTAGTTATTAATAGGGTCAATATAAAATGTGATGGACTTAGTTATCGGTGTGGTGAGTATAGATGGGGTGAACTTAATAATTTTATGATTTATAATTTAATGGGGGTGAAAACAAATATTTATGGGATAGGAATAGCCCCACCCTAAATTAAATTTAGACTCCTTGAACTATGTTAGCTCGGCTCGACTCTAAGTCATTTGTATTCTTAGTAAGAATTACCTAAATTAAAAGTAAAGTGGTTTTTTTTAATCGATTTGTGCCTGATTTAACTTTTTAGTAAATTGCTTTAAATTTGCATTAAGGAATAAGAGAAAATTACACTTGGATCCCTTGTACTGTTTTCTTGTTTCACATTGTTTCCTGAGCTATCAATTTTTTACCTCACCTTAAATTATGATTTTTGTGCATCCTAATCGTCACTACTATCCAATTTTTCAAAAAAAAAAAAAAATCAGTGCAAAAATACAACTAACTAAGGATGGAAATACCACATCTTTTACATTGTGAGATCCCATATTTGGCATAAAAATTTGGACAAAAGTCAAATAATTGGAACAAAGTGAAACTCAAATCAATAGTTTAAGGTGCATTGTGAGAGAGTTGATAATTGAGAGGTCAACGTGAAATAAGAGGCATAATTCAATGGATCTAAGTGTAATTTACCCGAAGAATAAACCATAAAAAAAATTATTTGTAAAACAACTCAGTATTAGTTTTACAGGTTTGACTATGGTACCAAAAAAAAAAATTCACTATCGTACTATTTTTTACTTTTTTGAATATTTATATTATCTTTTAGTTGAAATTTTTACTAACTTTTCCGGTGCCTTCACTACAATTTTGGTTAAAACTTACAACCTTTTGGACTGTTTTTACTTTTCACTAGCTAAAGTAAATTATAAACTGAAGTGAGACATGACAGGAGGACATCTTACGATTTTTAAAATTCTCCTTGAGATTTTCAGAGCAACGATGACTCCATTATGGCTGATTGACTAGCGTGTGAAACATGACTCATTTTATTAATTTAAAAATGCCAATTAGAGTGTTGTATAATAACACACAAATTTGACATTTTATTACACACTAACGTAGGATGCATAAACGAATTGTCATTACTTATTACTTGTTTATAAAACTAGGCAAAATATACCATAGTTTCACATCTTCGACAATGACAACAAATGTTTAAATCCCGTGGATATCAATGTTAATCTTGGAGGGATTAGATTTTTATCTCGTATAGAGTGTGTTTTCTCTTGTATATATGGGTAGCCTTTCTTAAATCTTAGAGTCTCTCCCTAACTCCCTTGGATATCTATTAGGTCATAAAAATCGTCCTTTATTTATAGGAATAGGAAATAAGAGGTAGATTGATGTTCAAGTAACTCTGTCTGTGACTTAGTGCTTGAGTTCCATGGAGAGCGGTCAGAGAGTACTAACAAATGAAAAAGAAATTTGGGAGCCATCATGTGAGCGGCGCTCAAGCGTTGTAGCGAGCGCTGACTACTAGAATTGTGTTTTCTAGTCATACTCAATTACCTAATTCCCAAAAGCGCTTAGAGAGTGCTAGAGAGCATGATCTACTGGTTTTCTAAAAAAAACCAAGCACTTAAATCAACTCTCTTAGTTCTCAGGGGTGTACCATAAAAGCCTCCATCCAATGACTCATTTTAAACATTATTTTTGAAAACTAAAAAACTAAAATATCAAAATTATTTTACACTAAAAACACACGAGTTATGAATGAATCAAATACTCACACCCTAAATCCAAATTTACAACCTGAGTTAAATCAAACTAGGGTAACTGGGTACCTAGGTCTACTTACCTCACCTAGTTGCTTGAGAGAATCCAAGCAGTCTTCAATGTATTGCTTTGTAACTTGAGCTTCTTCACCAAATATTGCTTCAGTCTTCAATCTTCAATAGCCTCTTAACATGGATTTAGTTGAGATATAAGATACATAGTGACCTCACTGAATTCACTAATTGTAATCATTTTCCTAGAGATCTCCCCTTTTAACAATTCCGTGACAAAATGAATAAGAGTAAAAATTTTAAAAATTACAACTTGAAAATCACAACTAAATTCAAGTTCAATGTCACTCTCTCTCATTCTAATGACCAGATCCATCTTCATGAATTTGAACTTTTGAAACAAATAAGTCCTGCAAAACAAACACTAAACAAAAACTTCATGAAATGCATAGAGTATTTCAAAAATAAATCATGTTAACAAGTGTTAGTGATCAAAGTACTAAGAATGATAAGCTACATGTATGTAAGCAAAATTCACATAAGCAATCCAACAAAAATGGTTTCTTAGGGAAAACATTGAGTTTGCAAATTCCACGAGGTTAATAAGTATCTTGTGTCTCAACTAAATCCATGGTCAAGAGGCTATTGAAAATTGAAAACCGAAGCAATATATGGTACAGAAGCTCAAGGTATATTGCTACACGAAGATTCCTTGGATCCAATCAAGCTTAGGTAAGGTATTATGATCTAGATACCTAGTTGCCCTAGTTTTGTTTAGCTTAGGTGTTTAAATTCGATTTAGAGTGCAAGAACTTAATCCGTTTATGACTTGTGCGTTTTTGGTGTTAAAATATTTTTGAAACTCTAGGGTTTTGGTTTTAGAAAATGGTTTTTAAATTACTCATTGCATGGAGGATTTCTAAGTATACCCTTTGGCACTTAGAAAGTTATTTTAGAGCCTTGGTTTTTGAAGTAAATCAATGGATATAACACTCTAGCGCTCTCTGTGCGCTCTGAGGACTTAGGAAATCTAGCAAGGCTGGATAAGAAGATTCTAGAAACCAGTGCTG